AAACGGGGAAAGACGTTTGATAATTCCAAATTCAATTTTCGTTCAGTCATGTGACCAAAATGATGAAGTCATGTGATCAAATTGTTTCATCATTTTGGTCACATGACTTCACGATTTGACAGTGCTATTTATAATCATTATTCCCAGTCAACTTCGAAACAATTCAGTATATTACAAGATGGAGATCATATTTTCGCTAAAAGGCAGATCATATTATAAGATAGATACTAGATAGATTGTTTATTACGATTATGGAACTTTAACATGAACATAATACGAATATTTCATATATTCTGTTGCATTGACCTTCGTTTGGATGTTTGTGACCTTGTTTACGTTTGAATTAACTTGACTGTTGAGTAACGAATTTCTGACGTTTAATTCAAAACTACGCACCTGATTGGATAATAAAATTAGAAACCCATGTACAAAAATAAATTGATAACAAAATCGTGAAGTCATGTGACCAAAATGATGAAACAATTTGATCACATGATTAAACGAAAATTGAATTTGGAATTATCAAACGTCGTTCCGCGTTTATCAAACGTCTTTCCCCGTTTGAAAATCTTAGCGGGATGTGGCCAGTTTAGTGATTTTAGTAATATAATCACTTTAATCTTGTAGAAACACGACTAAAAACGTGAACGTTTTCTTGAGAAGTAAACAACTTTTTAAACGTTTGTATGCAATTTTGCAAATGTTTTACAGTTGAGTCAGTTGACAGTGCATAAAAAAATTAAAAAATATTGTTTCGTAGCTATTTTTTGGTCTAGTGATATTCGTATCATATGTAAAATTGCTCGCAAGTGATTTGGCACTCAAAACAAAGTATTATTCAACGCTTTTTTCCATTAGAAACCTTTCAGAAATAGCTTTATTTTTAAAAAAAGCATGGTCAATTTTTGTTTTGTTTTGATCATGCAGTTGCGTGGGATAGTTCCCGTAATAGTCCCGCGAACATCCCGCACGTAACTGTAGGGAGCCTCCTTAAGTGGAAGTTTGTTTATTTAGGACGACATCCTAGTCCCAGTCCTCTGCTTAGCCCTGACGTCCTAGCTGGTGTCGACGTCATAGATCTTAAGCTATCTAATGAAACTTGTGGCAACCATCTTGGTGTGACTTATTAATTATTCCGTTTATACCCTTATAGGGAGCCCACTGGCGATAAGTTTTTATTTTTTATTCGATAACCAGAAACTGTTCCTGAGAAACCTCTTCTACTATGTCACAGAATAGAGACTAGATCAGAAGTGTCACTCCTATGTTTTTGGCTTGGGAAAAACGTCCGAAATTTTTTACGTGCTATGACGCCATCCTGGAGTGCACACGGCACTTTGTACCTACGTTTGTACCATTTATATACATAGCGAGCATTATCCATTCCTAGTTTTAAGATTAGTGGCCTGGACCTATATTTTTACCAAACGCAAGGAATAGAGTTGATGTACTACAATATAGTGCATCTAGGCCTGGAAAAAATGCGATAGGTATGTTTCAGATATAATTGTTTATACAGCTAATTATTAGTGGGTGTCAAAAGTGTAATCTAAGAGATGAATTTTAACACTACGATTACTAAAATATTGTGTAACAAATGTTATGGCTGTTTTAAAATAAAGTCTGGTTCACCCAATGGACCATTGAAATCATGCATTAGTTGTGTTAAAACTTTTACAGAGAAACTACATCAAGCGTTTCTCTTTTGAGTTCCCAAGTTGATTGCAACTTTCCTCATTACCTTTGGCTTTGCAAATTTGAAAAACGCCTTTGCAAATCCCTCGAATATTCTTACATGTAAGAGCCAAATCAATTTTCCTCACTTCCTGTTAGTTCTTAACTTCCTGTTACAAGTTCCTAACTTCCTGTTCTGTTCTGTGCGTTATAATTGGCTAACAAAAATAATCCGCCAATGAAACGCTCAGAACAGAACAGAAATTAGGAAATTAAAACAAGAAGTTCGGAAAACTTGAAAGGAAGTTTTTTGCGTTGGAATATAGCAACAGCCGACAGGAAAATTGCAAATTCCCTCAAGGGTTTTTCAAATTTGCAAAGCTAATAGGTTTGATGACCACTTACTTTAATAAGTTTGATGATCCCTTACACTTTAAACAGGCATATAACATTGGTTCTACTAGACCAATTTTAGTAACCGTAGACGTAGTGTCAACATTCATCTCTTAAATTCGATTTTCGAATTTCATACAATTTGGCCAGCACCGCCTGAGTGCAAGCTACAGCTTCAGCAAAACAGGAAACCCCCTGATCCAGGGTAACTAATAGCTAGCTGTGTAAAAATAATAGTTACAATAATTAACAATCAAAATATATACCATATTCGGTAAGCTTGATGTTTCGTTGACCAATGGGCTTGCAACCAAAATGAACGGAGAATGCCATCGCTTCAGGGAAATGAAAGGCTGATAAAATCATCTTGAGAAGACCAACGTCGGTTGTCTGATTCGAACATGTCAGGGTGATGCATCTACTACAGTCCTCATTTGAAACACGGCAAACGACTGTCATGTCCGCTCTTTCTGGAGTAAACGTGACTTCAACAAGTCCATTTTCACTCTTCCATTTGTTGATCCCAGATCCGGACGGAGCGTGTTCGAGGGAAAAGAATCTAAATTTCCCATTACGTTGGCACGGACGTTCAATGGTAGCGCTTTGACGTGGGTTGATTATATACCCAGGGAATACGACATGTCCGTCAATCTTAATCGTACAACGACATCTATGGAAGAGGGGATTCTTGACAACCAATGCATAACTGTTTCCGCTTGTTAGTTCAACATATTCTCCGACGGACTCACTGCTGTAGTGTTGTCCACCTTTAATTTTCAAATAGTAATGATTCATGATAAGATAGTTTTCAAGTGGCTTCTTCGCGGTGGCTTTTGATTGCGAAATCCCGCACGAACATGCGAAGTTGTCGAGCATAAACATCAAATTTCTCTCCTGGATCATTTCTAAGTAGTCCCGCAACTCGTCAAGGTTTTCAGGTCCAACAATGTGACGTTTTTCAAGCTCTTTGAAAAGATCCAAAGGTTTTCGCAGCTTCTCCATTATCGCACTTGGGATAACATGGTGAAGAGCATACTTCAATTTATCAAAGATGTCATTCGTGATTTCATTCGCGAGCACTATTATGAACTTAATATATTCTTTGGTTTGGACATCACTACCGGTACCAGCAACACTCGACATTTTGCAAGCAAATGCTGGTAGGTGTTTTGGTATTAAATGTAAACTATCATCAACGATTACTAGGCTTTAATGTTTTTATTTGTTGATCTATATCTTCATAAAATATTAAAAGGGAAATCCCCTAGGGAAAGTCCCTTCCACCAGAAATTACAACTTCAGCAAATTTGCATCTGATCGTATAAAATGCGGTAAAACAAAGTAAAAATCCTTGTTTCGCGAAATCTCACAATGTAAACTATAAATTGCGTTGGAAATAGCTTGAAATTGTTTTACAAAGTAGGATTTAAGGACCTAGTTTTCTTTCGGTTTCTCCGTTTGACGTCAAAAGGTCGTGCTGGGACAAAAGGTTTTGAATTTCATATAAGATGATATGCAAGTTTGTTTGGTTGTCTGGGAAACGCGAACAGGAAATGGCAGGTAAGTAAAAAGCGGGAAAACCGGTCATGGATAACACGGACAAAGAAATCAGAAAATCTAAACCCGCGGAAAGTAGGGACCGCTCGCAGTCTTGTGTGGACTTCGTTCATAGACTTTGTCACGGATTTTATTGAGGTAACGAAATTAACATCCAACACCACTGCTGAAAAGAGCACATTATTAAAAATTTGTAAAATTGCTAAGTTTAGTGATAATATGTCCTTGAAAAGTTTGCGCATTTGATATATTCTATACTGCAGAAGCAAATTCTTTCCCTACTTGGAGCATTATTTTATTAAACACAATTAGCAACTATTTACTATTTAACATCTTTCTGTACATCTCTATATAGTTTTGCGGTTATGCGGATTTAGCCATATTTCGAGGTCGGATTTCGGTTATATCCAGTTATTTTGTACGGTTTGCGGTTAACTGGAAATCGTGCGGAGACGGAAAATGTCGAAATTAACCCTCCGGTTTCGGTTATTGGCCAAAATAAATGGCGGTTTTCGGATAGTTTTTAACATGCGGTTAAGAAATATTTTACGAGCTCATGGCAATAATTCAGTTCATGGCATTCATCTTCCGATCGCGCGTATGTGTTGTTCCACAGGGCCTCAAAATGACGAAATCAAATGGGCAAAGTGGCCGGGCTATTAGTAAAATCAGGAACACCGGAACACGGTAACAGCATCATTCCGGAATACGGAACACCAGAACATCAAACTGATTCCGCTTAATTTGTTAAAAATTCGAGGGGAAAAAATTACCCGGGGTTGTGCAATTATTGCAGGTAAAATTATTCCGTAAAAGTAAAACATGCTTTTTAATATTCTGACTTGCTGATTGCTACGAACTGAAATCAGTCTCAAAGACAAAGTAATAAATATTTGCCCGAAAAGATGAAATCGAAGCAACTTGATTGTTTCTCATACAAAACATAAGCAGCGATGGAAGGAAAACCTTTTTATAGCTATTTGAACTGCTAAGACTTCGTTAAGTTCGTTTGATTTCCCAATTGCCAAATTTTATACTATCAAGTTCGCGTGAAACTTGTGAACGGCTCCCTCTTCAATACTCCAATAGAAATGGCGACTATACGTACTGATCATTGGTCTATTGCCCCACATTATGTTGCGGAATATGTTTCGAAATATGTTACCACATATATATGCCTCGGTTTGAACGCGGTTACGTTTAAAAGAGAAATTAGTGCGCGGTTTGCGGTTAAAATTTGAAAAACAGCGCGGTTTTCGGAGATGCGTACCCCCTATAATAGACCCCCTATTACGATATAAGTATTACCTAACTTATTGCATGTGTAAAATCTTATCTTTACTACAGTGCCCTCAGTTGAGTTGAAAGTCACAACGAAAGAATACAAATACAATACAAAGAGTACAATGTCAATGAATATAAATACTATTCCTACCATACATGCATGTGTAACATACAGTAAACAAAGTCTATGAATATAGGTGCTAGTATTGTTGTGATAATATTTAGGCAATACGCTTTTCGCGCAAGAGTAGTTCTAAAACCAAAGAGTACGATGAGCAATTGCAAGAATATTAATGTGTTTATGCAACGAAATTTAACAGCACTATGATTGCATTGCAAAAAATAGGTACGCTAAGCGTACAAGTATCTGCTCATGGTGATTGCACTGTTGCCAAGGGCTTCAATCAACACTCAGTAGCTTGTAAAAAAATTTAAGGGACTGATGTTTAACAGTTGACCAGTTAATTAAAGTTAGATTTATAGTATGTGAGATGAAAGAAAAGCAAAATGGCTAATATATATTCAACTTGCAGAAACTAATTCCGGCCATAACTTCACAAAGATGATATTTAATTTTATGTTCTTGTTGAATCATCTTAGTTTTATAATGTCCTTGTAGGGATGGATCCAGCATGATCTGATAGGGGGGCTCTGCCTAATCTGGTGCCGAGTTGTGTCGCTCATGTGTGCCGCTAACCTGAGTATCAGGCCAATCTGGTGCCGAGTTGTGTCGCTCATGTGTGCCGCTAACCTGAGTATCAGGCCAATCTGGTGCCGAGTTGTGTCGCTCATGTGTGCCGCTAACCTGAGTATCAGGCTCTATTTTACAAATAGAGCCTGACACAAATCTTAACCTGATCGGTTTCCACCCACAGCAAAGTTTATATTTAGTATCCAATCAAAATCGCAGGAGAAATTTAAATTTGACACAACGACAACAACAATCTAATTATAGCATAGGCAGCCCACTAAACGGCTGAATTTAAATTATTAAAAACCGCAATGAACTTATAAAATTAACAAAAATAATCACAAATTAGCGAAATATATTGCAAATGTAGCTTATATTTACCCTCTGGTTCCAGGGTAAATCTTCTTGATAGTTCATAATAAACTTTAGCTGGCATGCGAGAACGCTGTAGATGCATAGAAGTTGTCAAGATAACAGGTGGGGCCAAATTATATATTTGCAGAGTTTTGAAAGCCTTTTTATACCATTATACCATAATTGATACATAACATCAACATTTCTGCTGTTTCATTTCAGAAAATGTCATAGTCAGGGTTGATGGCACACAAACCAACTGTTTATGCCTAGTAAATATATCAAATAGGTCATATATCGAAAGTCATTCATCAGCAACAAATGATGACAAGTATGGAAATTAGAAGTATAATCGATGCATATAGTTCTTGAATAGAATGATATAATTCAGCATACCAGATCCATGAAATAATATTTTGTCGTGGAAGAAAATCCACTAAACAGAATATTATGTTATAGTTTTGTACATTATGTGCTATAATGACAAATGGTTGTTGTTGATTATAAGACAATATAGTATGGGATAGGTGAAGGGGGGTATAAATTGCTTGGCTGGTGTTCTTGGCAATGACATTCACTTGCAGAAATCAGGGTGGATAAAGAAGGAAGCACCCCCTCCAGGATATATAGTTATATAGTACAAGTCGATAATTATGACTGGTTGCAACTGTTACTATAAGTATTTATATTCCAATCTAAAACTGAATCTCTACTCTTTATGCAGCCACTATTACTTTGATGAATGAAAGCAGACACCAATTGTCTATAGTTATGATCATTGATAAAGAAATTATGTAACCTTACGAAATTATATAGCCTTCTATTGGTTTCATTCAGTTAATAATTTATATTAACTAAAGTCACCAAAGAAAATGTTAAATTGAGAAGTACGTAAACATCAACACTTCCAACTCGGTATACAGCTACAACGGCAACATGTGGAAAAATCATTACTTTCATAGTTTCATAACAGTATTCTCAATGCCATATTTAATAGTCAATATATAATTTTCTTGCCAAAAATTGTGAATCATTTCGTTTCCACTGCGTATTAAATGATGAAACCCTTCAAATGCTTGCCAAAAATGCACTATCGACATTTGCCATATTCAGATTAGTAAAAGGACGTTGTTTTAAACTGCGTTTGATGTATAAATTCACAAATTGCCTTTTGTTTCACCGTTCAGTAAACCGCCATTTTGAAATTAGTATCATTACGTCACTTCATCTATACGCTGTCGTTGATTGGCTATGAGCACGCTTACAAACTTCCGGTACGCGCACGATGGCAATATATCTGCTTCGCAGATACAAAAAGGGGCAAGATACAAAGACGGGCAAGATACTTTTCGAAACTATGTTAACTTCGGGTGTTCTCTTGCGCGCAACATTGCAATGTTGATTGGCAAGTTGACCCGAGCAACTTGCAACTGTTTCGGGAAGATTGACGTCCGGTTACATCAGAAATTCAGGGCTGCAAATTACTGTCGGACATCGGACAATGTCCGACTAAATTTGGCAAATGTCCGAGCAAAAGTAATTTTGATCGGACATTGGTCCGATTAAAAAAATATATTGTCACATTATACATTTTTTTGCTTTGATAAAATCCGATTGCAAATTCACTCAATTTACATTTTGCAATAAAACTTACGAGGCATTCTAGCATTTTACTTAACGTTGCGCCGGAATGGCTATACATACTTGTCTCGTACCTTATATATACCTATATATCTAGTGCAACGTATATATGTCCGACCAAATTCAAGTTATGTCCGACGAAAATTAAAACTGATCGGACAAATGTCCTGTCAAGTCAAATATTTATTTGCAGCCCTGGAAATTCAACATTTTCACATGAGAGAAAATGCTTCCCACTTACACAGCAGTATTATATTAAAATATGAATTTGTATTTATTTGGAAAAAAGTGCTGAGAACCTTCACTAGATGTTTACAAACTGATCAAGCCAAATTGACAATCAACATTGCAATGTTGCAGAGCAATATTGCAATGTAGCGTGCAAGAGAACACTCGTTTTGACTGTAAGTAACAATTTTGATACACAAGTTCTCCTCACTGTGACGTCATACGCACAATGACTCCCTGAAAAAAACTTTTAGAACTCTTATAGATAATTGATTCAAATTTGTCAACATGTAACATGTAACATGTAACATGTATTTGTATGCATAACACATGGTTTTATGATTTCGATGCACGATATCCCAAGATATTGAAGTTTTTTTCAGAAAGCATTATACAATATGACGTCATAGCGAGGATAATTTGCATATCTAAAAATGTTAAATATACCAAGAACGAAGCCAGCTTAGGCCTGTTTCATACGTCGAATGCAATTCAAACAATAGATGAAGTTTAATGAGGTTTATCATCTCATTATCTATTGTCGTAATTGCATTCGATGCGACCAAAATTCGATGTATAAAACGGGCCTAAGGCCTGTTTCATACGTCGAATTTAATTTAGACGAATTTAATTCGTTATTAAATTCGTCAATTGGTCGATATTAAAATGGTTTCAAACGACGAATTTAATATCAGACTAATTCATTTCATGACTAGCGATCATGGATTACCCAGAAATAAAAACCAAGAGATCAGAAAGACAGAAACAGACTTTAAACGTAATTTATGCATTTAATTCGACACGATCAGTAAGACGTCGTATGAAACGAAGACGTACTACAGACGTTGTATCCGTCTGACCATGACGGATACAACGTCTTGGACGAGTTTAATTCATCAGACTACAGTGCAACGGACGAGTTTAATTCGTTCTGAATTAAATTCGACGATAGTGCAACGTATAAAACAGACCTAAGGTAGTTTGGGTAAGGTACCTTATTTGGTCATTTTAAATTTTCTTTAATTAAGCTTTTGTTTCTCAAACGTTTGTGCTGTCACTCGCTTGGGTGGTAACAGATCCCCCAGCTCGTTACACATGCAAATATAGGTATTTAGCTATCCCTACTGCGTCCCCGTACTTGAAACTAAAAGTGGACAAACTAGTTGCACATTTTATGCTATAATAGAAAAGTATCTCGTTTACAAAAATATCAACATGTTCAGAAAGTCAAGATTTCCTTAGGATAAGAATTTATCCATTTGTCTTTCAGTAAGGACTTTCACTCATATTCAAATACAAACTACATAAAAAGTATAAAGAGAAAAAGGCAAACCAAGCTTACAGTAAAAGCCCGTGAGTTAAGAACCAGCGAGTCTTATAAAAACCGGCCTGAAATTTAGGCAATTAAACGCCCATGCAAGGACATACAAGAACCACTTAAATTAGGTTGGTAACTAAGATTAGTTCTTAAAAAACCTTTTGAATGCATCTTCTTATAGGGCAGATATTGTTAAGAACATACTTGATTACCATTGCAAATGCAAAGCGTAAATCTGTTGTTTGGTACTCGACGAGAATACTCTATTTCAGAACCGTCCTCAGAGATACAAAAAATCAGTTTCATATTATTGACACTGCAGTAGACCAACGAAAAATTCGTTGGCTCGAGCGGGATTTGAACTCGCATCTTCGGGTATCTAGATAGCCGCTCTACCCATTGAGCTATCGAGTGAACGGGAATTGGTAGCAAATCTTATCCAATTTAAGTGCACGAACTATTTTCACGCTTGTCTTAGAGGACGCGCAGTGTTTCAGTTCTATTTCAGAACCATCCTCAGAGATACGAAAAACCAGTTTTATATTATTCATACTATGAAACTGGTATTTCATATTTTTGAGGTTTGTTCTGAAACAGAATTGAGACACTGCATGTCTTCAGACAAGCGTTAAGTCGTTACGAAAATAAATACAAACAAATATTTCTACATGATGCGTCGCATGTATAAATCCCGCCAATATTCACTGGTAGAAAAAAGCAAGCCAGTGTTAATTGTTTCTAAAAACCTGTGGGTGGAACCTTAGTCTACCCCGCATTCCTTGAAAAGCGCCATGTTGACATTGACATATGAACGTTTCCGCATAATTAACGTACTAATTTACTTGCAAAAATTTCCCCCCCGGAAAATCTGGATAAATTTGGGGCAAGCTTTGCTTCATTGTTGCGCAGCCTCTTACATGCATCGTTTGATAGATGTCATGAGAATGCGCGCAGGCTACTATTATGAAAGAACTTCAGCCTGATGTAAAACTGGTACATTGGTTCTTTTATGTGGGTTTTTACTGTACTGCTGTATATCATTCACTTATCTTGCATTAATCCATACCGACCAACTTCAATTTTGACGTCGCCATGTTCGACACAACCACCTTGATTAGGTTGAGGTGCTTTTCCTGCTTTAAAACCACCAAGTTTACGGTTCGACGCTAGCTGTGGGTTGCGGATCAAGGTAAGGGCAAGGAACCATCTGGCACGAGCTTGAGCTGAATATGTCCATTTTCGTTCCCTGTTGTGTCCTATGATACAATATAAAGTATTATTTATTTATTTAAAAGATTCATATTTTCCGATTGTCTAACAGCCAACTGTGAAATTTACGCAATAGCAGACCAAATATGGGTTTTTTAACATAATATTCAACGACGAGACGTCATAGACTTGAAAATGAGAAAATCATATTCAACGTTATGATGTCATGCCGTGGAAATACGAATACGAAATGTGTAACGACCAAAACAATATGGCGCTGTGTTCGCATGCGCAGGTTTTAGAAAAATTAACAAGCTTTCGTTGGTAGCGACGCAACTACCTGAAAAATATAGGGAGAATTTCGACGTTTCGAGCGAAGGCCCTTCGTCTGGAGTTAGTAGCGGGGGTCGGGAAAATTACATGAGCTTTTATACAAAGGGTATAAAAGCGATCACGTGACAAAACCGATTTAGTCAAAACAAAGTATAAACAAAAAATGTAAAACCACACTACAGAATATATTAATACAAATATGCAGAAAACTACAGCAAATACAACAAAATATATGAAACAAGTATGGGATAAGGTAAGAACTAAAAGTACTGTCAATGTCTGCTTTTGACAGGCAAAGACAGATAAAGTTGAACATAGGAAAAACCAAAAACGTTCAATGCTATAGTCTATCGTTTGCGCGTTTCATGTCTTTTGCGGCCATGCATCGTTGCATGCTATCGAGCTCTTTGTCTCATTTCTGGAAGTAACGATAGCCGCATTTGACAATTTGTGAAAGAAGAAATTCGAGTTAATTTGAACAAGTTTACTTATAATAATACCCAATTACTAATATAAAGCACGAAAATCAAATACAAGATTTGCCATCAACATTACTATACTGTAAATTGCCAATACTTACGTGTTTCATCGCTCAATATTTGACAGAAAACTCGAAGGACTGGGTTTCTATAAGCTGTTTGTACGTGAAGATAACAGATGTACGCATTGAAACCTTTCAAAGAGACAAAAAACGTTAGCCAAAAAGACAGCAGCCTATAATTAAAAGGTAAAATTATAGTTTTACAGTTGTGTGTTACGCACTTTGGGCTACACCAGCGGCCAAATCATGACCACTGATTTGGCACTGGAAATGGCGCTTTTATCGAGAAAATTATCTTTAGAGCTCCTTAAAGGTAATATTTTTTACTATGTTTCATAATGTGAAAGTAGTAGAGTTGACAACAACCTTGAACTGACACATTGCTTCATAAAATAAGTTCTTTGTATGTTTGCATGGCGATAAAGCATATAATAGTTTTGTTTGTGGAAACACCACGTAAATTTATTCCTGCAAAGCTTTCGATCCGTGGGCCTGGATCTTCATCAGTGCTAAAGCCTAGTTTCCATTTGGTCGTTAGTTGTCGCTGGCACGACAATTGGCTGATGTAATAGAGTGTCAACAAAACTTTATAAAACTCTGCAATCATTAAGACTGATTTGCATATAACACACAAAAGACTATTATTATATTAGACTATTTCACATCTACCGCTTGTCGTGCCAGCGACAACTAACGACCAAATGGAAACTAGGCTTAATATGCGACTTGTTCAATGTGATCACGACACTTTTGTATATAAAAGAGCGTGAGAATTGAACAAGTCACATATTATTAGCACTGATGACGATCCGGGCTTACGGATCGAAAGCTTTGCAGCAATAAATTTACGTGGTATTTCCACAAACAAAATTATTATATACTAAAATACTTACTCGGTAATGTCTGAAGGCGGGCACACTAAGGTGTAAAATTTGTACGAAACTATTTTCCTTTATCTTAATTTGAAGTTCCAAAACAGTGCTTTTTCGCACTCTGGGTTTACCGTTCACTACTCATTACGAGCTCCGTTGAGATTCAAAAGCGTTCGCGGGATTCCTTAGAAAGGTCATCACGTTATCCCGCGCGTGAAAATCTCGAGGAAGTAATTTGTCCCCTTAGTAGTGTCGATAGTAACGTTATCTATGACGCGCGAAACCGGACAAAATTACTTTTCCGAAATATATATGACGTCAATATCAAATATAAAACAACAATACAAATATAACAGGAATTGCCGAATATATATGTGTGCTGATTCTTTAATATAAAACATGTTCTTAAATATATATATCATCGTTTTTAAATATAAACAATGTTGCCGATTATTTAACGTCTTCTCTCATATATATAAACAGTATTGGAATATATAAATCACATCACATATATAAACAATGTTCCCATATATAAATCACCTCGCATGCCAAATATATAAAGCGTGGTTACAAAGCGTTCGCTTTAACCGAATTATATGAAGTACTGCTTAAACCAATAAACAACGTCTTGTATAAAGTGCAGGCGTCTTTTCATTCGACGTTGAAATTAAGTGGTCATGGCTGACAAGCATATGCAAATTTTGGCTAAATTTGGATAAAAGCAGTTACCAGTGTTGCTGATCGTGGCGCATCACAGGAAACGAATAGCGAGGGAAATAGTTCGGTTAGTGTTGAAGAAACAATAAAGCGGTTGTTTCCATCAACAGAGGGTGGCCAAGGTGCAAACGCAAAAAAAATACAGTGCTAGAAGAGCGCGCCGTGGAACAAGAAAGGAATGAAAATCTTATTTAATTCGAAAATATTACAAATATTTTTCCCATAGCCATCCATCTCAATAATATTTTGTGGCGTTTGCACCTTGACAGCCCTCTGACACTGTTGATGGACACAACCGCTTTGTTGTTTCTTCAACACTAACCTAACTAAGTTCCCTCGCTATTCGATTCCTGTGATGTGCCACGATTAGCAACATTGCATGGTAACTGCTTTTATTAAATTTGCCAAAATGCGCATATGCTTGTCAGCCATGACCACTCAAACTCAACGTCGAGTGAAAAGACGTTGTTTATTGGTTTAAGCAGTACTTCATATAATTCGGTTAAAGCGAACGCTTTGTAACCACCCTTTATATATTTGGCATGCGAGGTGATTTATATATGGGAACATTGTTACCTCCGCCAGGAGGTTATGTAATCATCTGGGTTTGTATGTGTGTGTGTGTGTGTGTATGTGTGTGTGTATGTGTGTGTGTGTGTGTGTGTGTATGTGTGTGTGTTTGTCTGTGAGCACGATAACTCAAGAAATACCAAACATATCCGTACGAAATTTTTTGAATGCATTTCCCATCGGCTAAGGAAGAACTGATTAAAATTTGGTTGAATTTGGTTAAAAATTGAACGAGAAATGAACAAAATTTTGTCTTGCTTTTCCCGGTCAATTAACAAAAAATATTACCGAATGCGTAATTAGGACGTGTATAATTTATGCACTCAGTGCTAAGACAATAATGAGATGATAAACCTCATTAAGCTTCGGCCTTCATTATCTATTGTCTTAGTTGCATTTCACGCGACCGAAATTCAATGTCTAAAACAAGGCTTACGGAGTTACGCATTATTACGTTCAGCAAAGTGCCAGTCCATTCAAATTCTAACAACATTTAACAACATTAGATTACTTCAATACAGGGTGTATAAAAAGAACGCAACCTCGGAATTTCCCAAGAAATCGACATTGTTTTAAAGACAAAAGATTTTAGCTGCCTGAGAATTTAAAATAGCACAACTGTGAAAATTACTGCACGCGCGAGTGCATAAAGCAAAATTTATGCATTTATTTAATGACACTTAAATTAATAAGTTTTTATTTTACAAGTACTGTACAGCACAACAACAGTAATATGTTCTATTAGCAATTCGATTTCAATTCGCGGGGGCCTGAAATCTTTTATGCTTAAGAATTGTAAAGTGGATTTCTTAGGAAATTCCAAGGTTGCCTTTCACTTCCGAGTAACGGGCGGAGGTATGCAGTCTCTGAGTGCCCTCTAGTTTATATATGTGATGTGATTTATATATTCCAATACTGTTTATATATATGAGAGAAGACGTTAAATAATCGGCAACATTGTTTATATTTAAAAACGATGATATATATATTTAAGCACATGTTTTATATTAAAGAATTAGCACACATATATATACGGCAATTCCTACTATATTTGTATTGTTGTTTTATATTTGATATTGACGTCATATATATTTCGGAAAAGTAATTTTGTCCGCTTTCGCGCGTCATAGTTATCCAAGTTTTTTAAGTTCTCTAAACTTGACCTTTCATTGATTCTAACCCAGGTTCAATTTTAGCATTAAAATTTCATTGCGGAACCATATCCGTATTTCACACATTTTAAGGCACTCTTGCCCAGGTTGAATATATCACTATTACCGCCCCAGTCCTTTAAAACAAGTTCGTTACCTCGATCAAGCCGTTGAAAACCATCGGGCATTAAGCTATGATCAATTCTTGGTAACATCAGGGCTCCCACAGCCATTGTCTTCAAGATTCGAAACATAGCGGAGAAGACACCCATGGGAAGTCCCAAGAAAAACCAGAAGTACGAGAACACCAAGTAGACGTTTCTGGAAAAAATTCGATGTTTTACAGAAGGTAATTTCAACAGTCTATAATGGATACTGAGGGGTTTATCGCTCCGTTCGGTGTAAAAATCAGTGGGATTTTTAGAGACTATTTGGATAAAGGGATTGTTGAAATTTTTTAAGGATTTTTCTCTAGGTATACGAGATCTTTTGGAGTAATACACCCTTCAAATCCAGCATTCTACCCAGTGACCCTTCGGATGCAACGTTACACATACCTGTTATTTATAGATATGACGTCTTTAGAATAGTTGCGATCACGAAATATCGTCATTGCAGTTATTGGCAAAGATAAGCGAGTAAGAAAAGCCACGGCCAAGAGAACGCTAAATAAAATGTTGACATGCAGAATTATCTGAGATAAATACGATTTAGAGTTTGGGGCCTACATACCTAATCTTGCTTACCGTGACGTCTCGCATGCACGCATAAAAATCTCAGAGCTTGTTGACAAGATGTATTCGCACTGCTTGTTCCCAATTGTTGACAAGTCTGGCACAAGTTGTTATCCTTGTACCAAAGTTGTACCAAAGTTGTACCAAAGTTGTACACACCTTGTAACAAAGTTGATGAAGCCAACAGACTCGCAACAAGTTGTTCCAACAAATTACTAACAAGTTGATGACAACAAGCTCGTGCAAGGGGGGGGGGAATAAGTTTTCGAACCATATTCCTCTAAAAAAAGGAGGTCAAGTCACAAAAACTTTTTCCTGTCATGTCCACTAAAAAATGGAATCCAAACTACTTTTGGGGGCCACCCGTTGCAAATTTTCTGGCCCTCTATAACTGACGCTCGGGCCAATTTACCAAATGTATTAGCAAAATGTTTATGGTCATTTTTGCCGGGGAACCCCCAGGCATGAGAGCCCCCCCCCCCCCGTCTCTGGACACCCAGACACCGCCAGTTACGCGCCATTGCTTGTGACGAACAGCATGTAGTAGCCTTGTTGCAACTTTTAACAAAGTAATAACAACTTGTTCCAGATTTGTCACAACAACTGGGAACAAGCACAGTGCGATAATATCCTAATATCGGCTCGACAGCAACCTTGTGACAACTTGTTTGCAGATCTGCAACAACTCGCGCGTTTTTAGGCAGCGGGAGTAATATTTCCGTGCCGGCAGGTACAAAACGCAGGTTGCAGGTTGCAGGTTGGAATTTTGCAGGTTGGGAATTTTGCAGGCTGGAATTTTGCAGGTTGGGAATTTTGCAGGTTGGAATTTTGCAGGTTGGAATTTTGCAGGTTGCCAGGAACTTTGCAGGTTGATGATGCAAACTTAAAATTACACCACTGTTTTAGTATTCTAGTATAACTTAGTTGTGCATTTATTGCAGTCTGACTCCTTGTCGGCCCTTTTGATAACTATTCAGCCTACCCTGTTGCCAGGTTCCTAGCCACCACGTCATGCAGGCTCCTCACAACAATCGAAGCATCCGTCCCCCTGAAGGTCCAAGCCAATCTGGTCATTTTGAATGTTTCCACAAAGGTGATGGCCACTCCTTTGAGCAGAAGCTAGGAACATGGTAGCAGGATAGGCTGATATCAAAAGCGCCGATTAAAGTACACAATTAAATTATACTATACTTTATAGTGGTGTAATTTTAAGTTTCCATCATCGACCTGCAAAATTCCTGGCAACCTGCAAAATTCCAACCTGCAAAATCCCCAACCTGCAAAATTCCAACCTGCAAAATTCCCAACCTGCGAAATTCCAACCTGCAAAATTCCCAACCTGCGAAATTCCAACCTGCAACCTGCGTTTTGTACTTGCCGATTTCCGTGCGTTCCATATTCAGTTTTCAATCCATGCACTAGCTACAGTAACTAGTATAATGGACAACTTGCATGTTAGACTAAATTTTAATCTAAGTAAAAAGAAGGGAATCAAACACAACAGCTAAAAAGAACATAATGAAATTAGCAAAATTGCAAAATTTGGTTGCGAAATGATGTAAAGCTTGGAAAAGATAGTCTTGCAAAATTTGCAAATTTTCAGTACGTTTGTGTTACGTGCGGAAAATGTTACCATTTTCGGCTCCAAAATGGTAACAATTTCCGCACGTGATACAAAAATACTGAAAATATGCAAACTTTGCAAGGCTATACTTTCCGTATTTTACAACATTTCGTAACCAAATTTTGCAATTTTACTAAGACCAAAAAAAAAATATGTGGGTTTCCGGTTTCCCGACCCTACCTAGCTTTTGGACGTCGAAATCCCGACCCTAAACTTTTTATTGGATCATGCTTGTAAGTGTATCCACTTAGAGGAAAAAGTTTGTGGAAAATTGAAATTTGAGGCAATATTAGGGAAATTTATCTTTGGATGTGGAAGCACCGACTAAACAAAATGGCGTCCGGTTGTTCGGAAAATTAAAAAAAGTTTAAAAAAAAAGTTAAAACCGACCTACCCTACCTAAGTTTTTATAAGAAGAAACCGGAAACCCACATATTTTTTTTGGCCTAATTTTAATAAGTTCTTTTAATTACGGGAATTTACTTTTTTTGCCTAGACTAAAAATTAATCTAACATGCAAGTTGCTACTAGAGCGCTTGCAAAACCCGTCATATGAAAAGTATTCATCGATGGTCGGAAATTTTTCGTCCCGAGATTTTGATCCGGACTTTACAAACAAATTCGTCCAACAACATATATAATAATAATAATAATTTAATTCTAATAATAATAATAGGTAATGATGAACACTTACCCTCCTCCTTCAGCCCAGCTCCTAACCCAATCTCGAATCTCGGGAAATGTCAGTAAGTAAAGACAAAACAAGAAAACAAAAAACAGCAACACGAGCAATAGGTAGCCTAGAAAATTAAACTAAAGCCATATTATCTCATTTTAATATCATACAAGTCGACTGACATCTCAACAATGAAGCATTGGAAACAACAATATTCAAAATAACTTATTACAGATTTAAGAGTTTTTTTTGCTTCAAGACAATAACATTTTCGCTTTATAGCATGCTTTCCAGACGGTGCGTAAACGTTTCGCAACAGTATGGTAAATCTCTACGACTTTTACGACACAGTTTGGAAACCAGGCTTGTAATATTATATGCACTTTGAGAATAAATTTGAAAGAAGAGCTGGGGCTTCTTAAGAATGTTGACTTAACCAATACTTTTTGTGGTTGAAAAGTTGTTTGGACCAAGTTCACATCTATTATAAAATTTATAAACACGTCGTTTGCAAACAAAGCCTGTGATTGATCACTGCGTTGCTAATAATGGTGTTTAACGACCATTAGTGAGTCCGCTACTCTGCTTCCAAAAACCCGATTGTGAAATTCATAATTACATCTCATAAAAGCATCTGTCTTCGGTGCCACCCCTCCCCCCGGCCGTTCATATAAGTTGGTGACGACCCAATAGCGACACATTTAGCTTAACCAACAAACACCTACCCCACATAAAGTAGGCAATCTGGAAACTGTGATATCTCAATCCGTTTCCCTAATAAAAACGAAAGATATTCAGGTCAGGTACATTTAACTATAGTCACTGCCATGTTTTATTTACCGGGGATTTATACAACAATTTTCTACCACCGGTGTACGGTAGTAAAACGTCAATCTTCAATTGAGTTTTGAAACTTCCGTAACGAAATTTGTCACTATATGCTTTGAAGAAATTATGGTGAATGTGAATAATTAACTGTAAAAGGAAGCACTTGATCGTTGTATATTCTTCAACACGCCATTAAAAACCAGTTTAAGAACGGTTATATCTGAATGCTGGAAATGTTGTTATGACACAATCAAGAACTTTACCGGAGTCCCCCACTAGTGGGAGCCCAGCGCAGGTTTTGACGGAAGTGAGGTACTGTTCTCCATCTAAAACTCGTTTATTTACAACCTTCTTCCGAAAAAAACGGTAGTAAACTAAAATGCTTGTATTCCCTGCATACATGCCAAATACTGTCTAATCAATAAGTTCTTTGTGTGATTGCATGGCGATAAAATGTATACATTTTTGTTTGCGGAAACACCACGTAAATTTATTACTGCAAAGCTTTCGATCCGTAAGCCTGGATCTTCATCAGTGCTAATCATATGTCATATTATTAGCAGTGATGAAGATCCGGGCTTACGGATCGAAAGCTTTGCAGTAATAAATTTACGTGGTGTTTTCACAAACAAAACTATTATACTGCAGGTCTAATAGTTTGTTCAACATTTTTATTTGTCGACTCGTTAAAGACCGTTAAACAACTTGTCGACTAGCACGAATCAACATTTCCAATTGTTGACAAGATTTGAAAAAAAAACCCAACAAATTTTAAGAGTACTGTTGTCTCGACAGCATTGCACAAACTTGTGTGTACGACAGAAAATGGCCACGCAGAGTCTAACAAACAATCTTTACATCTTGGAGAACAACGAAGACGTAAGTCTATGTTGAAAATTAAATAATGAAAATAAAACGGAGATATATCGGTAAATCGTTCGACTTACAATCATAAACTGTGACACACTCATAAACTTAGGAATAAAAGATTTATCTCCTTTGAACATCCTTAGCATGTTATTCCTAGTGAAAAAAGCAAAAAGAACCGTAAAATTATCAAAGGAAAACCCGAAAGGTTCAATGGTGTTTATAAAGCCTGGTTTATACGAGCTATCTTCTTTTGGCAAATTTTATGCCAATTGAACATGAACATCTACCACATGAAAATCTACCATCAACTGAACGCGTCGTGTAAGAGCATCTATCATCCCATGATCCCAAGTCACTATAAGTCATTTAGTCACTTTGGCGCTGCGCGGCTCACTTAGTTTCCGAGCTCGAGGAAAATAACTCTTACTTATGATTTTCCATGAAACGTATAAGAGAGATAACACACAATATTGCAGCAAGAATAAAAGCACCGATGAACGAACCTAAACAAGAAAACGTCATAAAATTTATAAGCCTCGGCAGAGTTGAGAAATATGTTGCGGTTTCTAAAGAATATATTCGTTACAACTGACTTCAGTATAAGGTAAAGCTGTGCGGTTCCAAAAATTTTATCTCGGTTCCCGGTTTTTTTTTTTAACAAAAAAACCTCGGTTCGGTTTCGGTTATGTTCGAAAAAGAACTGTACAAATGTATGAACTCATTTATGTATGTTTCGAGCATTTTTTCTAAATAGATGAATTTATGCCTTTGTAAGTTTGTGTAAATCTCTGAATATTTTAAAAGAACAATTGGAATCTATTTACGATGATGAAATATTTCTTAGTTTTTAAAAAAATTTAAAGCAAGTTCACAACAATAACTATCACAACTAAAATATCAACTATTTGAGCACTTAGTACAGTGCATATTGTGCACAAAGAGCACAATCTTGTTATTTTCCAAACAATTCAACCTGCAATCAGGTGGGCGTTTGGCGGGCGTTGAATGGGAAATTAAAACCGAAACTACCACAGGAGACCCAGGCTCGATTTGCCCGCGCCCGCCCTCTCTCCTCCGCAGAGGCTTTATAATTGGCTATGAAGGCGCGAAGCCTCTGCACGATTCCACACCCAATATGGCGGTAAACCGGGGGGGGGGCGTATAATTATCAAACGCAAAATTCAAGTCAAATTCAAAATGACTGAGAAAACTTTTATTTAAATTTATATTTGACATTTGTATTTTTAGAAATGTGTCCAAAACCGCATAAAAGAAAAAAAATGAGTATGTATAGCATACAGAACCATTATTAAATTTATTATCAAGACTGAAAATACAATTCAACTATTTCAACTTCAGCAATATTTATAAGCAAACGCGACCTTCAGTCGGTTTCGACCTGATTTATTTGGAAGTTCGTATCTTTGGTTCAATATACGCTATGTAGATGAAAATACCACCGTTCGATTCAGTACAAAAATATCTCCTAGTTTCTATCGATAGTTTTAGTGAAATGTCAACACTATAGCGATTTATGACCTGTGAAAATCAAGCGGGATTTGGTATATTAATATCAAATCACGCAATGTTTATACTTGATAAAAATATAAACTAGGCATACCTTTCGGCGAACATAACTTCGGCTCCTTGGGACGCATCCTCTTTGTATTACTCTTGTTCGAAAGCGAATTCAAAACACTACTTAAAGTGTTATTTTTGAGCTTGTATCTTGAAAACTTCATCTTTTATTATGGTATTTCCATTCCTGGTCTGATTGTGAACTAATTCCCGAACATCAGCGTGTGACAGGCGCGTGCGACTGTGCGAGTAAAAACCCGATATTTTGAAAAATTAAAAATAAATATTTCTACTGGCCGTATTCAAAAGAAATTTTCTACACGAAAGCGCTTGAATACAAGGAGTATTTTACTTCTTTGACTGGTGGCGAATTCCGAAGAGTTCAAGAAATATTCAAGTTTTTCTCGATACGAAATACAGAATGTTTGGCCAAGCGGTGAGTAAAATATACGATTGTTTGCTTTGTGTATTAAATGTTAAAAAATATTACTTTTGACCATCCACAAACATGCAAGCACTAGTCAATGAGGTCAATCAATCATGCATTAAATAATGATTTAATTTTCAAAAAGACGTTTCTTGTTTAGCTTAAAAATCACCTTTTGTTTCGATGTTTACACTTTGTCCCACTTTGTCCCACTTTGCGATGCAAATCGTGCAGAGGCTTCGCGCCTTCCTTCGCCTTTCCCTTTGCCGCCTGCGCTCCTTCGCCCAGCGGCTACGCTCGTGTTTCAAGATCCGCCATGTAAAGTGTAGTGAAATGTATCTCATCGTAATACTCATCCTAAGAAAACTAAAGCCTCTGCGAAGGAGAGAGGTAATGACCCCTACTTTAGTATTTACCCTGTCCAACGCCAGATGATTTTTAATACTCAGTCAGTGGTAGGGTACTGTCAATAAATGGGTTAACAAGGATAACAATAATTAGCCTGCATGACAGGCGGTATTTCCCAGGCTTTCCCAATTTTAGAAACCGCCTGCCATGCAGGCTAAACAATAATAGGATGTTTCTGAAGGACTCGTTCAACACCCTGTAGTTTGTCTTTTGCTTGTCAAAGGTAGCATTACTGCCCTGTGGGTAACCTAGTATTAATTGTAATGGCATGAGACCCAAAATAGGCACGAGATATATTTGTAATGGTACGAGATCCTAAAAAGTTAATAGCGGCATGCAGACAATTTCTTCCTCTTTAACCTCTTAAACTGCGAGCAGTCCCCATAATAAATTATTCTCTAATGGTTTATTGAAAAAATAAGATTCATTGTGATGGCATGCTATATATTATGTAAGCCAAACTCGAGTATTTACCATTTTAAAACTTTAGTCTTTATAAATTCAGTGCATGAGAAATAGCTATTATGCAATATACATACTGTGCTCAAACGTATATTTAAAACTTCATGAAAAATTGTATGTCATTTCTGTAAAAAAATTGTCTGTCATTTCTGTAATAATAGGTGAAAAGAAATGATAATAAACCGTAATATTTACCTTTCAACAAAAAAACTTCAAATGTGTATATGGAAATTATTATCTCGAATCCCATAATATAATATAATTATATATGTTGCAGCATTGAGTTGATATCCAGTTGATATTGCATGAATACACTCTTTTGGGGGTCGTTTTGACTCTTTTGAATTTACAGTGTATACATGCATAGTAGGCCTACCTAGTTTTGATTTGTAAGAAACACCATGTATATTTAATATTGCAATTCTTTTGACTTCGGATTTTTTAAAATACGGTCATGCAAAACATAACTTTTATCGACTAAGAATATAGTTAGCTCTAGTTGAGTTGAGTCTAGTTCCATGTTACATAATTTTTACTGTTACATAACATATATATATATATATATATATATATATATATATATATATATATATATATATATATATATATTATACTTTCAAAACGTCTATTTAACCACCGTCCACACAGTTAACATATACTACAACATGTGAAAAAATAATTTGTAAACGGGATAAAGAATTTCCTTGTTAAATTATTTATGCATATTATTTAGATAAGGATGTAGACGAAAGGACTGTTTACACGTTATATTTCTTTTACATATATGTAGTTAAACAGTGGCAAGAGCTCGCAGGCAAGTGGCAAATTTTAAACCCACTCGTTCATGTGTTTTATAACGCAACACCATGCATACTATTACTTGTTGAGTCTAGATCCATGTTACATAATTTTTACTGTTACATAACATATATATATATATATATATATATATATATATATATATATATATATATATATATATATATATATATATATATATATATATATATATATATACATATATATATATATATATATATATACACTGTTAATTTCAAGGAGTTATTTTAACTCCACCATAGGAGTTAAAACTACTCAACTTGGGAGAGTAAAAATAGTGGAGTAAAATCTACTCCCAAAATAGAGTTAAAACTACTCCACTTCGGCGCGCATTCCACAATTTACTCCATCAGGAGTCAATTTTACTCCGCTGGAGGAGTAAACTAAACTCTCGTTTAGGAGTAGAAATGATGGAGTAATTTGTACTCCTTAATTTTACTCCAGGGGTCGTTTCAACTCCCAAAAAAGAGTAAAATTGTTCTGGATCGGGAGTAAATTATTACAATATATAATTAATGTGCCTGAGAATCCAAGAGTTTTTCTGCTGGAGGCTATACTCTATTAAAGTGATTGAATACAGTCAGATGCGAAAAGCACGAAGTTCGAGATATAAAGTCTTTTTTTTAATTTTACGTTTTTGGTTACTCGAATGTTGCCAAGTCAGATTGATGCCATTGATGTATTATACCGTATATCGGCTTCAATCGCACGCGGCCGGATCGAATGTAGCCAGAAATTGTCGGCGAGTCATCTATATTTTTTATTTGCTGGCCTAAATCTGTAATTTGAACGTGTGGAATGTTCTGCTGCTGAATTCTGCTGAATATAATTTTCGACAAGTGGAAGTTCAGAGTTTCAACCAATTAGCATGCTTAGAATATATCACGTGTTGTAGTAATTAGTGATGGGCGATACCAGGATTTTTAATTCGATACCGATACCGATATTTTTAAGATCGGTATCGGCCGATACCGATACCTATTTCAATACCAAAATGAACACAAAATTTCAATTTTCGATACCGGAAGTGAGTACTTAAATTGCTAGTATCGGCTACTTTCGATACCTGCCAGTCAGTGGGAAAACATTTTGCATTACTGTATGTAACCTAAATAAAGCTATAAGTAGGCCTATTAAAACCAAAAGCCCTAAACGTAATAAATATTTTCTATACCTGACTTGGCGCACCCAATTTGGAATATTAAGAGTTATTTTGGTGGTTCATTAAATCTTATTCAACCATTCAAGAAGTAAAATTAAACAAGTAGTTTAAAAAAGGGTGCAAGTATCGAACGATACCACGTCAGTAATCGATACCGATACCGCTGTTTGTGGTATCGCTGGTATCGAATACCGAGTACTCGGTATCGCCCATCACTAGTAGTAATTCGATCTGCTTCACACAAAGACCAAGCGCCAAGTTCAATCCTTTGGGAGAAAATATTCAAAGGGAAAGATATTTTATATTCAAATTTTCTACATATAAAGTTCCAAAGACCTAATAAGATACATGGAATTTGTTTTGAAAGGTATGTTTATTGTGTATTCACTTATTTGTGTGCGGAAAGTTACTTGATATACTGTATATAGTTATATTTTTAAATCGAAGACGAAGGCCTGTATTTTAGTCGCTTCGCCGCCGATTTGCCGATCTAGTTGTTCAGTTTTAATTTTCGATTAATTTGTATTAGCAGAAGTCCATAAGTCTAATCTACAGTCTCTACTTATATGTGTTGTTAGCCCCGTTTACACGAACAAATTTTATTTGACAAATTTCATTTCATCAAAAGCATTTGATCAAAAGCTAGCATGCTAGCTTTTGTTCAAATGCATTTGTCACAATAAATTTGTCACAAATTTATCATCTACACGAGCAAAATATCTCTGACATATGAAATTTGTCAAATAAAATTTGCTCGTGTAAACGGAGCTTAAATATTTGTGTGATATACATGATTGTATGTTGTATTTCGTGTTTAATAAATATGTATACTTTTATATATGTGATCTGTTTGAAATGCAGTCACATTTGACAGCATTGCAATAGCCCATCTAATATTACCCAGTGTATGGCATGTGCTTGCTATGGTAGCCCTCCTATCGGCTATCAGTCAGCCTAAAACATGTGTAAGGGGCTGCTTATATAGAGGCGAGCCACCCAGGTAACCTGGCTATAGCTCGCTTTCCCTGGATGAATGTCTGGTTACATGAGCCTCTTTAGATGGGCAGGCTTGTCAAAACAAATCACCCAGACTGAGTTATATAGTAGAAGCACATTTCCCAATAAACTGAACCAACAGGTGATCAATCACTCATACTTTTGCAGACAGTCTCGAAATGTATAAACTGACAAAATCAATCACAGAGATCTTTTTACCCAGGGCCCAGGGGTAATACTGTGCCAAATCATGGGTGATTGTATATAATTTATATGGAAAATCCTAGCTTGGCATTAGTAAGATTTTGGGACAATGAATTTTGGGTCAATTATGCACCTCTATTTTAAACACCCTTTACCAGAAAAGTTGTATTCATTTGGATGATGTTAGTTCAATTGCATGCTTACATTAAATGAGTAAAAGCATTTGAATTTTGTATTTCTTGCTTTGTATATGCAAACAACCAAAAATAGCAATTTCATTGTCAATCAATCAATATTTTTTATTTTGTGTGTGTTGGTGTTATGTACTCAGGTGAATATATGATGTTTGTGATGTTACTGTGAGTGTGCATCCACACCGGGCAAGCTAAAAAGTTAGCTTGGCCACAGTGGGAATCGAACCTGTGACCGTGGCCAAGCTAACTTTTCAGCTTGCCCAGTGTGGATGCACACTCAGTGAGAGTAACATCACAAACATATATTCACCTGAGTACATGACACCAACACGCACAAAATAATCGTATCATTGAATACCCCTGTACACTGATATCGCAGGAACTAGACTCAGTTCCGAAATATCATCAACTCGAACAGACTTGACCATATGTATCTCAGTTGGCAGAGCATTGGACTAGTATCCCAAAGGCCACAGGTTCGATTCCCACCGTGGTCAAACTAACTTTTCAGCTTGCCCGGTGTGGATGCACACTCAGAGTAACATCACAAACATCAATCAATAATTTGCTGCTGTTATATATCAACCTTATATATTTTTTTCTTACTAGGGATTCTCATTAATATATGGATTTAACAAAAGCTTCCCAGGAGAAGGCAAGTTGTCTAAACAAGTGGTATTATATGTAATCATTAATGGCATTCTAAGAACTTCATGGTCTATTTGGAAAATGTTATTCTTTTGCTGGAGAGCATTTTAGTGAATTACCAAACCATGCAAGGGATGGAGTTGCCGACTTGTGGTATACAGCTTGTTTTGTACTAAATTTTTACTAATGGACTTGCTTGACATGTTTGATTGAGCAGTGACACTGCATACATTATACATGCAGTATATTTTACTTGTAAATATTCTACATTGAACAGAATATTAACCCTTTAAGTGGCAATTTGCTTTACTTTTTTATTTTTTCTGTCTAATGTGGTCAGACAATTTTTGCTCATTAAGGAGAGAGTGCTGCCACTTAATGGGTTAAAGCTTTTCTGTAAATGTAAATTTTTTGAACGATAACTATGTAATAGCCGGTACTGCATGTGCTGGGAATGAAACCTGCTGCCCTGTGATTCTGATCAGCTTTTTAACTGTCAAGGGTCCTCAAGCGCTAAGAGTCCATCACCCTGAGAGTCAATCAAGCTCTACTGTAACCAAGAGTTCATGTATATAATACTAGTGTCATCCTGGGCAGTTTATTTAATACACTACCAATGACACCACCATGGTATATATACAGCAACTTGTGGTTACCTCTTGGCAAAAGGGCTCTTTAGGTCAGAGGGCTGCGGTAGAATTGCAGGGCTGCAGGTTCAATTCATGCTGACAGGCTTGTAATTGTATTCCACATGTATTCATGATATCATTCTAATCAAAATTTCATTTTAGAACTTCATTAAAAAATATTATAGGGCGTAAGAGTATATCATTATATTATGCTACAGCAAATTGTATTTCCTGCTATAATATACCTTACTTGTGGGGATAATAAATTATTTTGACTCGAAAAATGTCTTTATTGATTTCTAAAGTTAGTTAAAGACTTTTCTTTACTCCGATATTAGAAGTCATTTTGTCTCCAAAGGAGTCGAATTGACTCCAAAAGTGGAGTAAATAAAAAAGGTACAGAACGACTCCTTTTTTGGAGTAAATTTTACTCCTTTGTTTACTCCATTTTTGGTGTAAATTTTACTCCTTAAGTAGAGTTGTTTTTACTCTTTGAGGAGTAAAAACAACTCTACTTATGGAGTAAAATTTACACCAAAAATGGAGTAAATAAAGGAGTAAAATTTACTCCAAAAAAGAAGTCGTTCTGTACCTTTTTTATTTACTCCACTTTTGGAGTCAATTTGACTCCTCGAAATTAACAGTGTACATATATATATATATATATATATATATATATATATATATATATATATATATATATATATATATATATATACACTTTATTTAACGACGCTATATGGGGTGTCCATAAAAAGGGAGGAAACTAAGTCTACTACTATATGTACATACTATGAAAAGCTACTGTAATCCATCCACGATGGTGTGTCCCAGATAAAGATATAATTAACTGAATCTAGACTCGGTTATTGACATCCCAAATTTTGTTTTATACAACTTTTAAATAAATAAATTGTTTGAGCTTGCTTAGCTTCAAGCGGAAGGTTATTCCAAAGATAAGCACCGCTATATTTAAAGCTTCTTTCGAGAAATTCTCTGTTAAAGCTACTTTTGAAGAATTCCATGGCAACTGATCATGCATGCTATGCTAATAAACCTGCATCTACATAGGTTAAAGACAATACGTTTCTGAAGGTTTGAATTATGCAAATTATTAAAAATTTTCTGATGGCATGACCAGTATAGTACTAGCCCTTTTAAGATAATCATATAACCGTTCTATTGTAAATATATACATATATAGCATACCATGAAGAATTCACTTCAAAGCTCTTGATAACGCTTCATGATAACGCTAGATCACATTTATTTTTAAAAAAATTCAAATGTCATCAAATCCTTTATAACTATAGAACTAGTCTTCTTCATTGAGTCTGAATTAAGAT